GATACTCAACCTTTTGAGGAACTTTATGGAAGGAATCCTGGTCGTAGGGGGGGACCTTAATCTGACAATGGACCCCAAAGTAGATACGTCTAAAGGTACAGTCCATATACCATATACCCAGCTTAATAGATTAAAACAACGCCTACAGAATCTACAGCTGGTGGATATCTGGCGTATTCTACATCCTAGAGCTAGAAATTACACATGTTATTCACCATCACCATCACCATATGTCATACAGTCGTATAGACTACTTTTTTGGGTCTCATTGTTTAATTAGTTGGCAGATAAAAGCAGACATAGGAGTACAAATATGGTCAGACCATGCACCCATATTTTTCACGATCACACCGCCGAATACCATGAAGCTTAATGCGACTTAATACAAGATGACTCTATAAAAGAAGCTATTAGACAAGGCATTGTAAGTTGTATAATCTAATATTAAAACAGATGTTTCCAACATTGCCCTATTATACTAAAGTGTGGGAACAAGAGCTAGGTCATGTACTTACAGAGGAGGAGTGGAGGAAGATCTTTTCCCTAACTTTTAAATCAAGTATCTCTGCCCTAACACAGGAAAGAAACTTCAAAGTACTAACAAGATGGTATAGATGTCCATATAACCTATACAAGATGAACCCTAAAAGTTCTAAGTTGTGTTGGAGGTGTTTTGTAGAAGATGGGACAATGATGCATATCTGGTGGTCGTGTAAGATGATAAGATCTTACTGGAAATCAATCTTAGATATAGCACAAGACCTAACGGGACTCCATGGTTTGGAGACACCTGAGGTGGCTCTGCTGTCTCTACACCATGGTTCGCCCGATGCAGGGAAAAAAGGCCTACTGGGCCCGATCCTTGCAGCTGCAAGGGCAGTAATACCCAGACATTGGAAGTCAACCAGCTCTCCCCAGATATCGGAATGGGTGGAAGAACTAAATAACGTAATGCGATCTGAAGAGCTTATAGCCCGCTCATATAATAGACACACGCTATTTGGGGAGAGGTGGAGCCCATGGAGGGATTACATGAGCTCACAAGAGATTCTTAGATTTTTATAAGGGTAAAACCAAAAGAAGCCTAACGCTGGATCATTTTACCCTGATTTGATACCTGTTCTAACGTGACGTTCCTTCTCTTCCTTTTGTTCTTTTCGCTTCCTCCCTAGCGATTAATTATACTTACAACACCCCTGATACCCTTGATTGCGTGGGAATGTTTGTTTTGGGGGGGAGGGGGAGGAAGAAAGGTGTTAGGGTTTTAATGTTATACGTCACTTATTTGTTTTAAGGGAGTAGGAATATGGAGGGAACTACAGAAAATAATTGAGTGTGTGGGAATGAATTATGTTTGTTATTTGTATTTGTATGATATGTGAAATTTGAAAACTCAATAAATAAATATTTGGAAAAAAATAAAATAAGTCACACTGGGTAATGCCATAGATCAGAACAAAATGCAAAAAGAAAGAACAAATATTCATCCAATTTTGAATAATGGTCTGTGGTTGTGATGAAGTTAGGGATGGTTGGTTGGTTAAGGTATTGTAGACATAATGCTGTTTCCCATGTGGGTTTTTATTTTATGAAAAAATAGAGTAAGATGGGAAGGGGGGTAAAGTAGAGAAGAGGAGGAGCAAAGAAAGAAGGGGTTCAGGGTAGCATGATGGTGTACTATAGGCACCACCTAGTCCCCCAGCCCTCAAAATAGTGGTGCAGCAAATTATGACATAGGAACATTCAGGTTGTCAAGACAAGAGAACAGTGGTCTAAGGTCCCGTAAATCATGATGTCTATAGTTAGAGACCTGAGGATGCGAAGGAAGATTGCAGTGCTGCAGCAGAGGAGAAGACAGGCTGGAGGGAGCACTATGACAGCTGGCTGGCTCAGAGCTTCGGGGGAGTATAACTTTATTTTAGTACCTAGTCAAAAATACTTAACCCTTGCAATGCAGAGGTAGCGCCACGGCAAGGGTTAAGAAAACGTTTTCCTGGAGTTTTTGAAGAGTGTAGACAATGTCTTACATAATTTTAATTTCTTGAATTTTGGTAAACCCATGTGCCATGGAGGATGGGGTAGTTTTCTTTCAGCTGAGATGGACTCTAGCTGAAAGCAGTGAATAAATAGCGTGTATTGCTTTCTGGGGAGTTGGCTTAGGTGAAGAAGGTAGGCTGCAAGGTATCAATATCTGTGAGTTTCTTAATAAATGACAGGGCCCCTTCCTACCGTACAAGCGACATATCCCTTCCCTCTTCTTAAACAAGAACTGATCTCTGGAATAGGCAGGCAGAGTACAAATGACTAGTCACTAGTATTGCTGCTGATCTTTCATCATTATTGACTTACTATGCCTTTTTCTGCACTGTGCGAAGGTAAATGCAGGGTCTTACTTTCTCATGTCAGGGCCTCTAGCAAATAGATCAGTGGGCAAAACAGTTGTGACATAAACAAATCTCACTCCTTAGATCTTAAGAATAGCGGTCAAAGATCTCACACTGCAGATATAATGCTATGCGTCTGTGGGCACAGTAGTGCCTAGGCATACTCCCATAACAGAAATTTCAGTGCTATTTTACAGAAGGAATTCAAGATAACATTTACATGTTCAGGGTACTAATTAGAAATAATTAATATTTCTAAATGTCCTTCTATCAAAGCAAATCTTCACTTTTTGAGGTTTGGTTGACCTTAAAAGGAAGGGAAGCCTAACTATAGCATATCCTATTGCATCTTAATACAGAGAGATGTAAATTTCTCTTTTTTTGGAGACCCATGCATCTTTTACCTCTTACATACATATTATACATTATATTTTCTGTTTACCTTTAGAGTTACATGAAAACACATACAGAAATGCAGAACATGGCAATATGTGTAATTTGAAAGACAATCATTGAGTCTTTCTTGGTATCAGCTTGATGACAGGACCCAAACAAAATATTTAGAAGTCCACTGACTTTATATTTTTATACTTTTATTAATGCATATATTAATATGCTTTTTATTTATCCTAATTATTTATAATTAAAGATTAAATATAGTGCTTCTAGACATATAAAATACACTTGACGGCTGAGGAGGACCAATTGTACTGCTAGGCACTCAGGTGTCTCTGTCCAGGAAGAAAACAAAAAGAGTGGAGGCAGAATAATAAAACAGTTAACATTTGTATTAATATTTGCTTTCATTTGTTTTCTTTTGTCAGCATCTGGACCCTTGTGTGCAAATCAGCAGTAGAATTGTAGGAAGGAGATATAGGATATAGATATAGAGTCCCAACACATTCCCTAGATAAGGAACATACTGTAGATAGCAGCATCTGGGAGTTTTGTGCATTAAAGCTCAACAGAAGTCACAGAAATACATGTTCCGTCAGATAAACATTGTGATAACAACTTCTGTCACATACTACGGTCATGTCCTACTGTCACATAGAGACTGAGTTGACAAAGGGGATTCTCTTACACCTCCTGTTCAGTACCCACTGAGTTTGTTGACAGGGTTTAGCAGGATGAGGAGAAGCAGTGTGCCTGTCGTGGGTCCAGACACCATTGATGCTCAGAAGATAATTGGGATACTGCTGAGATGCTGAATTATGTAGTACATATATACAGCACACACCTCCACTACATTACAGCAATAGAGTTACAATTCTCCACTGCTAACATGAATAGGTTAAACCATGATCCATAGTACATAACATGTAGTTGTACTATGGATCATTTAAAGTCACCTGTCCCTTTAAGAAAAAGTATCGGTAATTGGTATCGGCAAGTACATGAGGGGATGTACTTGTACTTGGGCCTGAAAAAGTGGCATCGGGACATCCCTACTGAAGATGCTTGGGCCAGTTCTTGTGCAGGAGGCTGGTACCCAGATGGGGCACAGGAACCCACAGGTGCAGGATTCAAAGTCATAGTGGAGACAAGCTGAAGTGCCAACAGCTGAATAAGAACTGTACCAAATCGCAAAGCAGGAGTGGGTTCAAAAGCCAGGCCAAAATTTGGTATCAGACAGGCAGCAATAGTACCAAAACAACAGACAGAAGACAAAGTGAGGACATACGCTAAGGCTAGCAGGGGGATTCAGATATTGTAGAGTCAGGAGGCAAAGTGGGTCAGTTATAGAACAGTAGAATGCAGGTCAGGTCACAGGAGCTAATGACCAGTCAGCAACTTTCCTGATTTGTGCTGTGCATTCAATTGGGCTCCAGAGTCAGTGCTGGACATGCATGAACATTCAGGGTAACCCGTACATGCATGAGCATGCACTTGAACACACATGGATATGCACATAGCCATTACACTATGCATCAGATCTCGCACATGCAGAACTTTGGGCGCAGCCATGCACTCAAACTTCCTGACACCTACCTTCACTGTCCTTCTGAACAGTAACAATTGCACAGTGTGTTTAAATATGACTGCACATTCCAATAGGCACCAGACTTTGACCACTCTACACGTTCAATTCTGTAATCAAACAGCTCTGGCCAGACATACCCCCTCTCTTGCTTAGCATTACAAGTCTGTGTGAGGATCTTGTGATAAGGGATAGGACCTTGACTTATGTATGCCAGCATAGAGCACTGGAGTGGGAGAACCGGAAGCACATTTTCACTAAGATACAATGGTATTTGTAGGCATTTCCAAGTGAAAATCAGTTAGACAACATACATACTAATACTACTATAAATACCTACAACTATACAGCTCGTTCTCATTTTAAATTTCACTTATGTTTAGTAAAAAGAAGGTTGGAGGCTATATGAAAGCATCTATAATTAATGTATGACTAGGCTATATGAGTGTTAAATAGGGTCCTGGTACTTTCTTAATTAACTCCAACAGACGTCCCAATGGCTACAAATGCTACAACCCTGTTCCAATTTATTGCATATCGTGTCGTCAATGCTATAAACATGCTGTGCTTTAATGTATGTATGTTTACAGATGTATGTATGTTTTGCTGTGTAACAATTTTTCTGTATGTACCAGGAATTTGTGATGATTGTCGTGTTTGGCATGGAGTACGTCGTTCGAATCTGGTCGGCTGGGTGCTGCTGCCGGTACAGAGGATGGAAGGGGCGTCTAAGATTTGCCAGGAAGCCTTTTTGTATTATTGGTAAGTTCACACAAGGTTTTGATGCTGGTCAAATTATTTTAAAAAGTATATGCTATAACCCCTTGGTGCCCAACCTGTGGCTGAATAGCCACAGGCAGCCCTTTTGTGCTTACAATGCAGCTCTTGGACCTCAGCAGTCAGCAATGGCAGTGCTGACTTTGTGAAAAGGTTGTAATGCCATTAATCTCTAGCAGTCTCATGTAACATGTTCACAGTTTTCCAGTCTTTAAATATCTCTTAGAGCAGGTATCCAGCCACACCTGTAGCATGTCTGTAGTCTCTTACTGTTCCCTCTAGCAATTCTGCAGAAATTCTGTCTTCTATAGTATTACATTTACTAAACATTATGTGTTGCTTTTTGATAAAGTCAGGGGCCGCAGGTGAGGTCCCCTAAATATAGGCTTCCCCCTCTGCCGCTGGTCCTGAGCTCCGCTGTGCTCGGTGAGGGCTGGGATGGCGTCTCTTTCACCAGAAATCAAAGGGGGTTCAGTACACGATCTCTCTCTGATCTCTTTTCCGGTGTCAGAATGCAGGAATGGACGTATATTACATCACTTCCGCATTCAGCTGTCATTCCCAACTCCCAGCTCACAAGCCGAGAATCCGGAACTGCTTGTGCGGCCGCAAAGGATCTTGGGGCGGGCGCATGCGCAGTTCGGATTCTCGGCCGGGAGACGAGCAGAGGTGCAAGGTAAGTCAATGGACGCGTGCACCCGCATGCAGACACCGCTGGATCAGAAGTGCCTGCAAGCAGAGAGGAGTCAGCGCTGGATCGCAGAGCCGCCGCACCGCTGGAGGGACAGATGAAAACATCAGGAAAGAAGAAGATCTGATTAAGAGACATCATTTAAGGTAAGTGCTAACATTAACATGGGGGGAGGGGAAAAAAATATTCTTTAATGTCACTTTTAAGTGTAAAAAAAAGTTAAAAAAATTAAACCATGAAAAAATCGAATCACATATAAAAAATAAAACATTTTTTAACGTCCCCCGTCCACATGCAAACATGCGTCGGTTGCGCCTACGAAAACGACGATTGCGCCCATTGTGCCACACATATTACATATCGTTGTGAACGTTGCAGTGAGAGCAATAATTCTAGTGCCAATAATTACTAATAACACTAAACTGATGAGTGGTATAAGCTTTTAAAGCGTCGCCTATGGCCAATTTTGGATGTTGTAGTTTTTTGCAATTTTGCAGATGCACGCAATTTTAAGCCTTTGACATGTTTGGTGTCTACTTACCCGACATGATCCCGTCTTTTATGTTTTACTACAAAAATTCAGGTGATAATAAATATTTCATAACATTTAATTGGGAGACAGGTTTTTTCCCCAAAATTTTCGGAATTTTTTTTAAAACCTTAGTGGTGAATAAATACCACCAAAAGAAAGCTCCATGTGTCCCCAAAAATGGTATAAAATTAATTTCTGTATGGAGTTACATGACTGAATAAATGTCAGTCAAAGAACTGCAGCTCTGAATACTAAAAAATGGCCTGGCCAGGAAGGGGGTTTAACACCCCGGTCTTCAAGCGGTTAAATTAATTTGCCTATGTATACAGTATTTGCTTGTAAGTTTGCTGCTGTTTGCCTTCTTCTTTCATTTCCTTTCCCTCCTTTCTTCCTCCCTGTCTACAGATGTTATAATTCCTAAGGGATGCAGCCTTTTTTCCTCTCTCCATCTCCCCTGTCAGCCCAACAGCTGCACAGTGGGGTTTTGTCTCTCTTTGTAACAGAGCAGGAAAGTTTGAAGAGATGGTTAACTGGGAGATACTGCAGAGCCAGCATTGTCAGGGCTACTAGATGGATTGTTTGAGGTGAAATAAGGCTGTTCAGCAAGTTTTTACACAAAGAGCGTCACAATTTCTTTATATCATGAGAGAGAAATACCATAGAGCAATGCCCTCTTGCAGCACAGCCGAAACATTGATGGAGAATTCAGGTGAATATATATGCAGTGGGAGTACAAAACCTGTACTGTTCTGTATATGCATTTTAATCAGTTCTGCAAACAGTTGCAGTATTTAATAATACGGTAATATTTTAACTGTAAAAAAGATTAACAGTTTATTTGGATGGGTACAATAATACAGCAAAGAATACAGCTCATTATATCATAGTTATTCATATATATATGGACATATAGAATACTGAAACATTTACAGTAAAACAATGAACCTAAAGTGGACCTTTACCCCCTACGACTAAAAATCACATCAGGATACAGCTCTGCATGCTGATATGAAATCATCTTACATTCATTAGCTAAACAAACATTTTTTTTATACTTACAATTTCTTTTTTTATTACTTCCTCGTCCACTTTGGCACAAATGATGTAATGTGCCCAAGCATTGCATCCTGTGAAGGTTACATCAGCAGAGCATTGCTGGGAAATCTCATCTGTAGTCTCACGAGATCTAAGGGAAAGGCATTTTCCTCCCCTGAGATGATGTGCATGGTCACATGTCCTAGTCACATGTGCCAAAGTTCCAGGAAGTAAAGGGAGATAGAGTAATCTGCCTTAGTAAAAATGGCCACTGTGAGAAGACTGGAGAGGAAAAGAAAAAAAGGAATGCAGAAAAATAAAAATCCGGCAATTATCTAGAAGTATGTGTTTGTAGATTGTCATTACTAAACATTTCTAAAGATGTCTTTGTTATTATTTTGAAGATAAGGGTAAAGTTCCTCATTAACCAACAAACCTTGGACACAGACCATTTGCATTACAATACCAATACCTTACTGTGCTTTCTTAATAATAGGAGAAACACAGAAATATAGAAGAGAGGCAGCAGAAAAAGCAGCAGAAAAAGACCATGTGGTTCATCGAATCTGCTTTCTATGTTTATCACAAGCATGTGTAAATTCGCTGAGTAATGCAAAAAGTTAATTAACACATAAATATCAGAACTCACTTCTCTTAAATATTTAAAAGTTTTAGCCCACCCCCTGGTACATTGTTTCTTGAAGTCTTCTTGCTGGTCTGGTGATGTCACTGCATTCTTCCAGAACTGAACTTTGCTCATGTGAGCACTGCACTGTGTCGTTCTGCCCTCAGGACCCCAGCACTTGACCAGGGAGGCAGTTGAGGACAGCGCTGGAATCTGACAAGAGTAAGTAATACTTGAGAACACTTTTTTTTTATGAAGAAGGGGGAGCCATAGAGTGGGAAAGATTGCTTGTCGACTGTGTCCCTGCTGGGGAGATTGCCCAACCTGTTTGTCCTATTAGCCATAATCACCGGCTTACTGATTGTTTCAAAAAGAGGCAATTATTTTTCTCTGCCTCATTCTTTCTATGTGGCCTTTTCAAATCTGTTGAAAGAGAGAAATTTGCAGCTGTGTGGAAAAGCCTGTGAAATACGCCTTACAGATGTGTAAAGGTTCTCATTGATGGGTGTTCTAATCAAAAAGTTTCCATTTGAACATATGCAGCTGTGTTTGACTAAAAAAAACACAGCATTTAACATTAAAAGGCTGTGTAATACCTGCATTGCCTGCAGGCCAAATACACTTGAATAGGACATGCTGGTATCAAAACTGGAGCAGACAAAATCTAGAGCAAATTTGCATTGTAACCAATCATCTTCTATCTCTCATTGTCAAATCTCACCTGAGCAAACTGAAAGAGATGCTGATTGGTTGCCATGGGCTCCAGTTTTGATAAATCCCCCCACTGTCCAACTAATGCAGTACAACGCAAATCAAGTAAAACGCAAGCATTTGGACTGCTCAATTAAAGTCAATGGGGTTTGGGTGACCTGTGTTTTATATGTTGAGGTTCGTTACAAACACACAGTAAAAACAGGAAAACAATACCTGTCAACATGAGTCCTAAAGCAGAGGTGCTCAACTCAAAACAAAAAACCCCCAAAAACATGTTCTGTGACATTTGATTTAATGGCAGCTTCTATAGAACATGTAGGAGAGGCACTGGCACAATTAGGTACTAGGATCGGGGTTGCCAGCCATAATGTATTATTAGTATTTGAGTAATGATATTTTGTTAACTCCCAGGCTCCCTTTATATCTATATATGTGTTGCAGTAATGCATGCTACAAAGCATGATCTTTAGTGCATTGCCTGTAAGTTAAAATAGCCCCATAATACACTATTACAGTACGCTGCAACAACCTGCATTCTACTGCTTAAAAAAAGGGTTATGAACCATTTTTAAGCTATTGCTGTTAATTAGCAGCCCATTCATAATGATTGCTGCCTAAATACGACTCTGGTTAATGCACCAAAGAAGCCCAGAAAAAATGTTTGGGGGGCAGAAACCACACTGTTTGATGGGAGGAATGCCTGAGCCGGCTGGTGTCACAAGACAGAGAATTGCATTACATCTGGAGGACCATCCAATGTTTGGGAGGCAACTAAAATATACATATTTAAGGAGGAACTTTACCCACCAATTTAGTGGTCTTCCAAAACAGTTACTTTTAAGGCATGCCAACTATGTGCTTATTTCAGCTCTCAACAAAATTTTCAAGCCCTCAAAAGGCTGGTGTCGTAGCTGATCACATGTATAGCACCATGGCAGATACAATGCAAATGGAGACTACGATGGCAGCTTCCTTGGCTGTAAGCGATGGGAGGGGGTGGTTCCTCACATTGGAAATATATCCTCTCACTTCCTGTTGAAACTACAGGATAGGAAATGAAGCGAGCTCTCTCTAATCAGACACAAATGGCAAAAAAAGCACATAAAAAAACAATCTGAAAGCAGTTTTAACCCTCCACTACTCTATCCAAGATGAAAAAAAAAGTTTTGGCTACCTCATTCAGCCTGTATTTTTACTGACTATCTAAGCCTGAGTTTGACCAATGTTTAACAGCACTAACAATAACCAAGAAACAACTTAAAATGGTACTCAAGTTTGCAACAGGCAACTCATTCTTAGAGAGACCCTGTCACCCCCTGCTATGCGTTATACTAAACACGGGCAGGTAATATGTAATAGGGGAACTTTCAGACCCTTTCTGCTGCAGT